TGAACTGAATGTAATAATAATAATAATAATAATAATAATAATAATAATAATAATAATAATAATAATAATAATAATAATAATAATACCCAAATTGATCGCAGAAAGATCAATTGGCTTATGCATTCAATTTGGTATGTTCTTGGAGCTGTATTTTCGTTTTTTTACTGATTTTTTTCTATAATTAAAACTTATTTTTCTTTACTTGTTCACTCGCTTTTTTTTTATTGGATGGTGTCTCTTTGGAAAGAATATGTGTTTACTAGTGGTCTATTCTTTTGTGGGTTAGTTTGTGTTGTTTTCATTTTTCTTTCACTTTATTGTTTTGTTGCTTTTTGCAGGCGCGAAGAGTTGCAGGCTGAACACCTAGGAGGAGTTTGGTTTTTTGGTTGTCTCTCTTTATTAGTGTTTAAATATAGTTTACAGGTATGTCTTTGGTCCCGTACTCTCTCGATCCGTGAGTGGAGTGCCTTGAGTAGACGTTTGAAAGTCTACATTCATCAAAATAGACCTAAAAAGGTGATGGTCACCATTGTCGACGGAAATGCCTTCTCCTAATGAATCTGGAGTGACTCTGTTTAGAGGATGGTGTGCCATGGAGGTAATGGTTTGACTCTTCTATGATTGATCGGGTGGCAGATCTGCATACCTCTGATTTGCCACTGTTTGAGGCGCCGTTTTTGATTCTCCTTCTTTCGGTAGTTAAAAAAGTCGGGTGGTATGCAGTTTATTAATGCTGCAGACGCCGACGAAAACAATGAGTGGGTCGGTGGGGTTGCAGATGTCGTCAGACCAGAATCTAAAAAAAAAAAAATTGATCTCTCCACATGCGTCCCAAGACTCCAGAATGGGTGAAATTTGAGCTCTGGAGGTGGGGATGTTCGGGGTGATGTTGATTATTGGAGACAAACATCTTTACAGGTAAAGGAAGCTTTTGAGTCTTTTTATGATTGGATAGAGTTAACTCAGGTCGTGGCAAATCCGCCCCCACCATTTATGTTGCGCATTGGCGCAAAAGTGTTGACTAATTTTCGTTCCGTTTCATTATTGGATGAGAACCCATCAGTGTCAAAGGCGCTCGTACAGTCACGACTCTATAAGGGCTTGGGTGAGGCTAAAGTTTTTGCAAAGGTATAAAGAGTCTCTAGTTGAGAAAGATACTGTCCAGGAACGCAATAAAAAAGACTCGAAGATGGACTGGACACCTTCAGTCATCTACAATGGATGACAACAAACATTCTTCTGCCTTGTCAGATGACAGAAGTGGTAAGAGTGAAGTGTCTCTCTCCAGTGTGAGGTCTACAACTGCGAATGATATCACCCACAACAATGCTTAAACTGACCTTGATGTTTTCAGCCATAACGAAGTGTCTTCCCCAAAGCGAAGGAAGGCCAGGGAACTCACCAATACCTATACTGGATTTATGGGAAATATCTGGTCTCACGCTGAGGGCAACCCTGATGATACTGTGTTTTTTTCTATTCAGATGCTGTTTCTTCTTCTCATACTTGGCATTTCCATAATGGTATTTCCCTGAGCCGGATACAAAGCATGCTCTGTATCTGTTTTTGTTTTAAACATCTCTCTCTCTCTCTCTTGTTAAGAGACATAAGAATGTGTGCGACCCATCCCTCTGTGTTAAAAACTGAAAATAATAAGAAAGAATGATACTGTACGACAACATGAGAGTTGCACCATATATTTAACTAATTTTGTGTGTGCGTCTTTTTTTAAAAAAAGTAAAGATGCAGATAATCTATCCCTAAACAACTTGAGAAATCAATTTTTTTTTCTAATGGAAATGTAATTGGAATCCCTTTTTTTCCTTTTTTTACTTACATCCCTAGAGGATGGACAGACTCCCCAGGGTTTTGTTTCTCTTTTTTTTACATTTTAAACTGTGTGATGAATATTGGGCGGATACTCGTGAATACACAACTTTATCAACTAACTATTGTTTTGGGTTTTTTTTTAAAGGACAAAAGAAAAATGGGGAAATGAATTACTTTTTTTATTGTTATTATGAGCGGCTCTAATTTCTTGTTTTCGTCTGTGGACGACTTATCAGAGATTTATTTGGCTTTATAATGTGCTTCCTTTACACACGGAGGTTGGTTTGAGTGATTGTTTCGCTACAGCAGTTATAACCTATTTTCTTTTCTTTTCTTTTTCTGTCCTTCTCTTTGCATTGCGATTTCACATGTGTATTTGTTCAGTTGTTGTTACTGTGTGGCTGCTGGGGATGTTCAGTTACGCGTGGGTTTAGTTTATTGGCCTCAGTGAAGGAAAAAGTGAAAGATACATCTTGAAAAGGAAAAAAAGGGAATAAGTCAGGGAAGGCAGTGGGACAATAATGATAACCCTCTGGGGCATGAATTCACACGCGATGCATCACTTTGAATATTNGGGATCGGGTGAGGCTAAAGTTTTTGTAAAGGTATAAAGAGTCTCTAGTTGAGAGGGATACTGTCTAGGAACGCAATAAAGAAGACTCGAAGATGGATGGACACGTTCAGTCATCTACAATGGATGACTACAAACATTCTTCTACTTTGTCAGATGACAGAAGTGGTAAGAGTGAAGTGTCTCTGTCTAGTGTGAGGTCTACAACTGCGGATGATATTACCCACAACAGTGCTTTAACTGACCTTGATGTTTCCAGCCATAACGAAGTGTCTTCCCCAAAGCGAAGGAAGGCCAGGGACCTCACCAATACCTATACTGGGTTTATGGGAAATATCTGCTCTCACGCTGA